CCCCAAAACCCCAAAACCCCAAAACCCCAAAACCCCTTCAAAACTGGTTATATGGACGTCATGTAGGTATTACTTTTAAATTAAAATATAGTTATGGAGAAAAAGGCGCAGGACGAATTTGTAGAATACTGTGATTTTATCGTTAAAAGTGGTCCCTTTGATGGGTACCAAGCAGTGGAACATATCATCCATGGCAAGCAAGGTTCCACTGTAGTCGCAGACAACATGCAGACAGTGCATAACTTCTGTTCCAACAATTACTCAGGCCTTGCTGGAGATCCAAGGATGGTAGAAGCAGCTGCTGAAACTATGAAGACTCATGGGTATGGTCTCTCATCAGCTCCGCTTATGTGTGGATACCAAGATATCCATAAAAAATTGGAAAGAGTAATCGCTGACTTCCACGGAACAGAGGATGCTATTCTTTACCCATCTGGGTATCACACCAATCTTGGTCTGTTTCAAGCATGCTTTAATGAGAACGATGCGTTGTTTTCCGACCAGGAAAACCACGCATCCATCATTGACGGTATGAGACTCTGTAAGGCCAAGAAGTTCGTGTACAAGCATTTGGATACAAAGCACTTAGAGGAACAGCTAAAAAAGGCAGATGAATACCGGTTTAAGTGTATTGTCACAGAAGGTATTTTCTCTATGGAAGCTGATATTTTGGATTTACAGGAATACGTAAGAATTGCCAAAAAGTACAATGCAATGATATATTTGGATGAATGTCACTCTGTAGGTACTATTGGTAAGACTGGAAGGGGATGTATTGAGTACTCAGGAGTTGACCCGAAGGACATCACTTTGATTAGTAGCACCCTGGGGAAGGCTGTAGGTGGTGGCGGTGGCGGATACACTGCTGCTTCTAAACCAATTGTTGACTTCTTAAGACAAACATCCAGAACTTTCATTTTTTCAAACTCCCTAAGCTCTCCTATTATTGGAGCTTCACTAAGAGCATTTGAGATCTTGGAAGAAGAACAGTGGAGATTCACTAAGCTTAAGGAGAACTCACTTAGGTTTAGAAATGGGATGAGAAAGAATGGTTTCTACATTTATGGCTCAGACGATTGTCCTATCTGCCCTGTTTTCTTTAGGGATGTTTACTATTCAAAATATTTTGAAGTTGGTTTGATGAAGCTAGGATACTACACAATTGCCCTTGCATATCCAGTCATACCAATGAACACTGCCAGAACAAGGATAATCATCACTGCTATACATACTAATGAACAGATTGATGGTCTTGTGGATGCTTTCAAGTTTTTGGCCGACAACTCAACATTCTTTGAAGATATGAAGAACAATACCAAGGTTATGGAAAGTCAAATAGGCTATGCTGAGATGGCACAGAAGAGTTATGACCTGAAGATGTCCAAAGCAGCCATTGCCAGCCCTCTTTCAGCCAAGCTTTAAATTACTTAAGCTTTCTATTTAGTTGTGCTTAGATGGGGTTTTGGGGTTTTGGGGTTTTGGGGTTTTGGGG